GACGATCGGAGTGCATCGCATGTTTCTTTGGTCTTCCGGTTTGCCGGGAATTATGTTTGTTGAGTCTGTGTCAGCAAGTGAACCTAGTCTGGTGCAAGCAAACATTTCCGAATTCGCCTGCTGTTTCACAAGCACAGTTCGACATCCTGCGGCATCGCTGTGTTGAAAGTAGTCTAAGCAGGCTTCCTCTTCGGAAGTAACATCGTGGCACACGTGCACGAAATAGCCACGCCTAATTTGCATTGGGAGACCTTGGTGGCATGTCATGTGATTTCGGAGGTGGTTCCTAGCCAGTTCACGCGCTTGCAGCGATGGTGCAGCGGAGGCAACTTCTTGTCACATACGGGAGGCAGAATTTAAATTGAAGCATCCATCGTCTCCGCAAAGAGCAGTGACAGTGTGACAATGTCATCTCAAGCAACTCTTGGCTGTCTGCCTCGGAACTGGAGTTCTTTCAGGTCTGGCAAAGTGCCTCGCATGGTCCCCGGATGGTGCCCTGCTTGCAGCCTTGGGCCCAGATTGCCCCAGTCGCCAGTGCCGTTTTAAAGCTCCCTGGGCTTGTGTCTAAAGGTTCTGCACCTCCAAGAAGACACGGAGCCCTCTGTGCGGCTTTGGAGCACTCGAAGCTGGGAGGTGCTAGCCCGAAGCAGAGACTTTGAGGTATATAAAAATTATGAGTATATCAGTATATATATATATCAACAAATTCAATGAATTAGACAGTTTAAGAATTTAGCAAGTCACAAACAAATAGAAAGACAACTCTTAGTCTCGTGGACAAAATAAAAAGTTGTGCTGTCTATTTGTTTATTGTTGATAATTTTAACTAGTTGTTCCAATATCAATAAACTACTTGGTCAAATATACATATACATAATGTATGTATATACACGCATACATACGTGTATACATATATATATATACACACACATACATACACACATATGTAGTTATGCAAGTAGATATGTGTACTACTAGGTATGAATCTTGGTATGAGTGAAATTGTGTATACTATAATATGTTGACAACTGTACAACATGCTGCCTTCATAGAATCTGATATACTTTAGTGAAATACCATAATACAAGTACGGTGCCATAGTATATGCTTATAACTAAGGCTTTAACAGTGCCGCATCGTGTTTTGGACTTCCAGACACTGACCTGATGCCAGGTGGCAGCCGTAGTCGGCCTGGGCGCACCGCGGCCGTCAGGCTCTGAACTAGGCCAGCTGCTTTCGAGCAATGCGGGGGCACACACACATAGCAAAAGAAATTGCAGCATAGTATAACATACACTAGAAGCACACCAGAATATCAGACAATATAACATGGTATACCGCAGCATGGCATAACATCACCGATTATTGCATCACCAGTAATGTTTATCATGTAGTGCGTAATATGTACTGTTCTACATAAGTACAACGCTGCATACCTCAGAACAAAAGCATACAATGTACCAAATATGTAACATATTGGTGCCTGTTTGAAAGCATAGCAAATAACAGGTGATTGCGAACCTACACTCCAAATTTTCAACACAAGTTATGTAACAAGAAGGGTGTGATATGTGTATGTATATATGTCAGTATAGAAAGCCGCTTTTGTTTGTTTATGTATATATATATATAGGTATATATAATATAACTGTACAAAATAACTGATAGCAAAAGGGTAATATCATGTAGTATAAGATATTTGACAGATTTCATGTAATTCACTTCCATTGAGTATAGAACCGCAAGTGTGTAATACACCATGTAAATAAACAAATAAATACATTATATACATATATATATATACATATACATACATACACACACACACACTGTAAATCGAGGTGTGTCGCTGGCCTGGATGAGCTCCGAGCTGCTGCTCGCCACCGCGTCCCTCCACCTCGTTGAAGTTGCAGTCCGAGGCCAGCATAGGCCCTGCCATGAACGCCTCTCCCAAGAGCCTCTGACGGAAGGGGGCACCGCATCGAACGTCGGCGCTGCTCGCCTTGGCGAGGCCCAAAGGGGGGCCTGGAAAAATGTTGGTCGCCTCGTTTCCCCTTGTCTGCAGAGGACACTTCAGGCTTCTGGGCCGCGGGCTCCGAGCCGGGCGTCCGCGTCGTATCACTTCCCGGGCAGGCGAGTGCATTGCAGGCAGCACCGCTGAGCAGTGCCTCTGCCCGGTTCAGGAAGCACGGCGAGTGCTTGAAGTGAGCGTCTGCCCGCGATCCGCACAACGGCTGGCTGTTCGCCTGGAAGGTTGCAGAGAGGCGCCAAGGGTCGACATCCATCGCGTTTTGGAGAGCGTGCTGCTTCATGACAGGTGCTGGTGTATGAGCGCCCGACCTGTGGCTTGGCGGGCTGGTCTCATCGAGAGTAGCTCGGCCTGCGATGGCCGATGGCGGCAAGACTCAACAAACTACTTTTGCCAGCAGAAGGCATTACCACATGAGTCGCCTATCGGAGTGACCTCAGGCTGAGCCCCTGTGGCATCTTGGCTGCCGAGGGTGCAGCGCCTGCTACTCTTGCCTTCGCAGCACATGCAGTGCAGCGAAGCGGATCAGAAGGTGAGAGACGCAGCGGCAGCACATTCTGAAAGAAGCCCACGTCCCATCGGCTGATCTTCATCCCTAGCTCTACTTTGTAGCAGGTTCGCTGCTGGCCGTCTACTGGTGTTTGGACAACGGACAACATGAGGCAGAAAGAGGTTTCAGCATTTTGGGATGACAAGCGGAACAGGGTGATTGTCAAGCAGTGTGCCTAAGGCCATTGATTTCTGAGTGTGGGTGCAGGTGCGAACCTACCCCATGCACTTCATCCCGGCGCAGGTCTTGCAGACCAGTACGGTCGGCTCCTAGGCGACGCCCGTCTTCCACAAACCCCTTGTTCCAAAATGCTTTGCTAATCGCACATTTCTCAATGGCGCTCGGTTCTCCCTACCCAAAACCCTTCGGATGGGACAAACATCATCCGACGCTAGCGGCAGGGAAGCAAGGCAAAGCTTTCGGTCCAGGAACTGGAAGTGCCGTGCGAAAAACCCAGGGCCTTTTTGCGGTACGGCGAGGGTAGTTGGATAACAACAGAGGTAGTGGGTAGTGGGTGAGAGTCAACAGAGATCCACGTCCAATGCTGAGTTCCATCTCCAGTTCCGGAGCACTTCTCTGACTGCAGAAGTTTCGAGCACTTCAGTACCAAGGCCGCAAACGCCCTCTTCTGAATGAGAGCCGGTGCCCCGCTGCTTGATCAAGGGAGAAGCTGCCCGGAAATAAGACATTATGCGATCTCGCTTTGTGGCTTCGCGTGTCGTGTTCCTGCATCATGCAGAAAGACAAGCGCCATCTGCCTTGATTTGCAGCCTTTGCCGACTGAGACAAGAGCTGCAGGAGACTTGGAAGCGCCAGAGCGGGTTCGACTGCAACGCAAAAGCACGTAAATTGGAATCATGCTTCCACAGATGTACCACGCAGAAGCATGGAACAAAACACGCCGGTTGTGTAGCTGCTGATGGCATGGCTGCAGTTTCTGAGCAAGACGAGGACATCCTGCAGAAGCCCGGCGTATGAAAGTTGATCAATGCCAATGCACTCTCCACCGGAGGAGGATACATTTTTGGCAGTCTTTCCAGATTCCTCGAAGCTTGATGCCCGTGCCCGAGCCGATGGTTTCAGCAAGCGTAGTCGAGCTGAAGTCTCTCAAGCCCCAAAACCACTGCTTCGAGGTTGTTTTTTGGGAGCCAAGCAGTGCAGTGCAGGCCTATGGTATGGCTTTAGACGACCTTGGGGTCTTCGAGGCGGCTGGCTTCAACCGAGACCGCGCCTGAGCGGAACGCTGTAACTCCGCTCTGAAGCTGCCTTGAAAAAGAGGCTTCCCTTGAAAGCCCATGGCCATTAAAACGATTTGAATGCTCCAAGCCAAGGATCAAGTTGGCATGCTGGCCACATATGGTTTCGTTGACTTTCCAGGTGTGCGCACCTTGCTGCGAGGCCAGGAGTAGCCAATGCCAGGGCGACGGAATGTCTGCTTTGTTGAATTGCTCGTTGTTCCGCAGTTTGTGCCCATGATCGACAAGTCTGATGGAAAATCTGCGAATTCATGCCTTTGAATCCTTTGAACACTGGTCCACATGCTGCAAGACACCGTGTCCAGGCATAGCCGAGCGCCTGCGTCCAGGTTGTGTGGACCTTCGGCAGGTTGGACTTTGCAAAACCGGCTGTCCCAAGAGGAGTCACGGAAGCCGAGCCGTGCGACAAGGCTTTGGCCGGAATGCGCTTCCTGGATCTGGGCCTGGAGCTCTGGAGCCCTGCCAGAATGAGACTGCGCCCGTCCTTCTCAACCTGCTTGATGCCAGACACTGGACCTGCAACCTCGCCTCTAGCAGACTCTAGCACATGCCATGACGACAGTGAAGGGGGAACACGAAAGCCACGGCAGATTTTGTAGTTTGACGTCTTAGACTTCATCACGCAGTGCAGCATCGCCATTTCTGAATGATCTTCGAGTCATCGTTTATTCGTCCCGAGGATCTGGGTTGGCATCGGGTGCAGGATTGCGAAGGTTTTTCAGCATTCGCAAACTTGTCCCAGGTTCCGGTGATGGCCGTGCAGTCATTGGCGCCGCTGTTTTGGCACGCGCTCAGCTGGGACAGATGCACCCTCAGATTGCCTCAGAGCGTGCTAGGCACCGACGTTGGTAGAGTCTTCCGGCGTCGAACTCTCTCTGCTGAGCCCCCAGAGCTGCTCGCATGACCAAATCGTCTTGTACTTTGTGCATTTCCGAGATCCCGCCACGAGCTGGCTGTCCGAAACAGGTGGGCAGCATGCTGCAGACTAGTGGCCCCGATTAGCATTGCCTGGCCGGGCATTGCCCGCAAGGCGCCGACTCCCTCAAACGATCCGAGACATTGTGCAGTTTCAGCAGACCGACATTTTGCAGGCTTGCTTAATCCCTCTGCGTCAGCATTCTAGCAGCTGTCGCATTTCAATATGACTTGATCGGAGGGTTGGCGCCAGGGATGCGAGTCGCACGAGCGCTTTTCACCAATCGACCCTGTTGAAACGGTGGAGTGTTGGCGCACTTCGTTGAAAGAAGGGTGGATTGGTTGGGCCGGATATCTGCAGCAATCTCATGTGGAATACTTTGCATTCTGTAAGAGACTGCATGCTCACAGTCCCGTGGGGAGCATGGGTCAGATCTGCGTTGAAGACTGATCGGTCGGAGAATGTTGCAGATTGACATGCATGCTGACCTGTGATGAAAGAAACACGTT